AGTCGGTCACCTCCCAAACAAGGAAGGTGGCACCCAGGTCCGCCCGAGGGCCGGCCTTGGGAGGATTTGGGAATAGGGCAAAACGTGTGGCAGGAGCGCGTAAATAGGTTCAGTGCGTGTTCTGTGGGGATCCTGGCCACATTCTAAAGTTTTGTCCGAAGTATAGGGATTGTGCTGCTGCTTCTGGGGCAGCAAAAGACAACCGTCGGTAAGGGTTGCAACTGCCCCTACCCCAGGAGTATGTGGATTTGAGCATGCGAGCAAGATATAGTCTCCCACTCCACATATCTCCATGGCAGAGGTTGCTGGCCAGCGCCTAGTAAGTTGTCCAGAGACTGCTTGTATCAGAGTCGATTTAGATGCTTCCCTCACATGCTTAGTTAAAGAGTTGAAGGAGAGGAGGCAGGCTTGGGCCAAGATGAAGAAAGATGGAAAAGGGCAGCTAATCCTCGCAGATGTAGAGATCTTCAGAGCTAGAGTAGGAACCCTTATAGACAGTGGGGCCACCAGGAGCTATATTAGTCGTAAAGCGCTGAAAAGTTGAAGCTCAGTCTGAAAGTCCAACGATTGAGAGAGCCTGTAGTCAGCATCCTCGCAGACAACAATAGGATGCGAGTCGAGGAATACGTCGAAGGATTCCAGGCATATTTCCGCCTAGAGAAAGAAGGAAAGGTAGAGAAGGTCCTTCATTCCTTGACTCTCCTCGTCGAAGAGAATCTCCCATTCGATATAGTTTTAGGCACAGAGTGGGGAGAGGTTGCACGAGCCACCCTGCACCTTAGAGAGGATGAGTGCAGGCTCCCTAGTCCGTCAGGCGAAGTTAAGCAAGTCCGCCTGTACCATGAGTCTGGGGTAGACAATCCCCTCGCACATTGCTGCCTCAGCTCCTGCATTCGCTAGACTCGTGTGAAAGGAGCAGATCGAAGAGCACGTGTTTGTGGCTTGTGTTAGGCCGGTTTCTGATAAGCCAAAGGAAGAAGAGAAGGTCCATCCCGCTATTGCCAATTTGCTGGAAGAACATAAGGACTTATCTGAGGCACCTTCAAGAGTCGTGCCAAGACCTATTCAGCATCGCATTGAGATAGAGCCTGACAGTAGGACGCCCAAAGGGTCAGTTTACAGGACGTCTCCTAAAGAACTGGAAGAGCTTCGTAAGCAGTTGGACGAGCTCCTAGAAAAAGGATGGATTAGGCCTAGTTCATATCCTTTTGGCATGCCTGTTCTATTCGTCCCAAAGAAAGAGGGAGAGTTACGTATCTGCATAGACTACAGGGGTCTAAACGCCATAACCATAAAGAATGCAGAGCCGCTTCCCATAATAGATGATCTCTTAGACCGAGCACGAGGTTGCAAGTACTTCAAGATAGATTTGAAGTCAGGTGCTCATCGGATCGAAGTGCACCCTGATGACCAACATAAGACGGCGTTCAGGACTAGGTATGGGCACTATGAGTTCATGGTGATGCCCTTTGGACTTACCAACGCACCGACCACCTTTCTGCGTTGCATGAATGACTTGTTTAGGCCGTGGTTAGATAGGTTTAGGGTAGTCTACTTAGATGACATTTTAGTCTTCAGCAAGACCCTCGAGGAACATGAGGACCATCTCAGGCAAATCTTGGAGAAGCTACGAGAGGTTAACTTCAAGCTCAATTCGAAGAAGTGCGAATGGGCTAAGACTGAAGTCCTTTACTTCGGTCATGTATTGGACGGGGACGATATCCAGCCCGAGGACAGCAAGATCGGATCCATTCGAGATTGTCCAACTCCCCGCACATTGACCGAACTGCGATCATTTCTAGGATTGGCTAACTACTATAGAAAGTTCGTCAAGAACTTCTCTACGATAGCCGCTCCCCTGCGCAGACTGCTAAAGAAAAAAGTTTTTTGGGAGTGAGACCAAGATTGTATTTCGGCCCTCAAGAAACTGAAGAAGGGCTTGATAGAGTACCCTTTCCTCAAAGTCGTTGACCCGTTGCTCCCAGCCACGACATATGCTAGTCAGTATGGCATAGGCGCCGTGTTACAGCAAGATGACGACAATGGTTATAGGCCCGTAGAGTTCATGTCACGCAGGCGGCCCTCAGAAAAGGTTGCAACATCGACATATGAGAGATAACTCTCCGCTCTCAGGCAGGCCCTAGATCACTGGAGGCAGTACCTGCTTGGCAAGCACTTCAAAGTGTATTCATACCACGAAATGCTTAGGTGGTTAAAAACGCAAGCCAATATGACGCCCACGTTAACTAGATGGGCCGCTGAAATAGACCAGTTTGACTTTGAATTGAAGTAGGTAAAGGGAAAGTATAACGTGGTTGCCGACGCTCTGAGTAGAAGGGTTGATTACTTCGGCACGATAGTGCACTATCTAAACATAGGGGCGGATCTGCAGCAGGAAGTAAGAGATTCATATACGCAGGTGTTAAAAAGAGTAAAAGAGGGCCCAAATAGCGAGCCACACTATCGAACCACGAACGGGCCTCTGTTTCAGAAGACCAATGTCGTTGGCAGACTCTACATCCCCAATAGTGAAGAGATTTGTGGTTTGATCCTAGGGGAATGCCACGATACAGAAGGGCACTTCGGCTGGCAAAAGACTCTAGCTAACTTTATGATGTCCTACACGTGGCCCGACATGAAGGCCAATTGTATTGAGTACGTCCGTAGCTGCAAAATCTGGCAGCGCAATAAGACAACGACTAGGGCCCCATTAGGTCTTCTCAGACCCCTGCCTATCCCGTCAGGACGCGGAGAGTGAGTCTCCATCGACTTTATGGATACTGGGGTCAGAAGTAGGCATGACAAAAGTCAAGTCATGGTGATAGTAGACCGATTTAGCAAATATGCAGTTTTTGTTCCTTTGCCTTCGGAGGCACGTACCGATTTAGTTATAGAAAAGTTTTTTGATTTCTGGGTAAGCGAGCACGGTCTACCGTTGTCCATAGTTAGCGATAGAGACACACGGTTTACCAGCCAGAACTGGAAGGATCTTATGAGAGTATACGGATCTAAGCTATTAATGTCGCCGGGCCGTCATCCAGAGACAAACAGTCAAACAGAACAAATGAACAAGATCTTGCAGCAGCTACTCTGAATGCATACTAGACCTGATCAACTGGGACGAGATGCTTCCCAAGGTAGCTAGCACATATAACAACAGTGTTCATCTAGCTACCTGTAGGACTCCCAACGAGCTGCATAAGTCCTTTAGGCCAAGGCAACCGTTTGAAGGACTGAACCAGGATCAGATACAAAGATTATCACCCGACACAAGAGAGTTCGCATTGCAGCACGAGAAAGAAGTCGCTAAGGTGATTGAGAACCTGAGGAAGGCCCAGCATCATATGATTGAGCAAGCTAACAAGCATCGCCGACCTTTGCAGTTTCAGGTAGGCGACTTAGTCTGGGTCAAGTCTTAAGAGTTTGCACTCGAGGAGAACATCTCGCAGAAGCTCCTACCTGCGTATAGAGGACCGTGGCCTGTCCTAGAGGTTAAAGGAGGAGCGGGCGGACTGTCATATACAGTAGAGATCCCACCGCATCTCCACACGTACCCAGTCTTCCATGCGTCAAAGCTACTGTCGTGCACCACCACTTATAAGTTTCCTTAGTGAAGGTCAATGATTCCGCCAGACATGGATGGTGCATACGACATAGACCGCATAGTGGAAGAGGACATGTTTAGAACAGGAGGTCAAGGTCGTCCTTAGAAGCAATATTAAGTCAGGTTCGCATACCAGGAACTAGAGGACGACAAGTGGTTTATTAGAACAGAGCTGTTAGAAACTGCTCCCGACATAGTACATGCTTACGAGAGGGCAAGAAAGGGTAAAAGTCCCGTTGACCCGACGTTTGACAAACATTGAGATTCAATCCCTAGACCTGTGCCTAAACCCTGTACATTGACCCCGTGTTCTGGGTGAGCTTTGAACCAGTGACCTGTCCGAAACCCGTAGGTTAGTCAGTAGGTCTGTTTGTTAGCTGTTAGGACTTGATCCACAGATCTACGTACAAGCAGGCTAGTATGTTACCGATAGACTTAGATAGGGCCCTTCTGGAAACCTCTACCCGCCTCTTCGTAGGTCTAAGGGTCAGCCCAGTCCGTAGGAACTGTTGGTAGGGTCTAGAAGGTCGTAGGTCTGTCTGTCCCTGTCCAGTCAGCAAGTACCAGGCAAGTGGGGGTCCCAGGCGGTAAGTCCCACACGTTTTGGCCCAGCAGGCCCACGCGTCTGGAGGCTTCTGGGCCTCAAGGCTCACGCGGTTTGGGGAGCCCAGGCCTTCATGCGGTTTGGTGCCCAGGCCCACGCGGTTTGGGGCCGGGCCAGGCCACCTGCGAGACAGTATAAATAAAGAGGCAGCGTCCAGTCATTCATTCATTCGCCTGTGAGCCATGCGGAAGAGCTGCCTTGGTGACTTGTGCATGGAGATCTGCAGTTGCTTGGAGCTGAAGTGGGCAGTGAGGAAGACGGCGGCGGCCATAGCTAGAAGGAGGAAGACAACGGCGGCCAATAGCCGCCAAGCTGCTGATGTCAACAGAGTGTACAGTGTGTGTGTGTGTGCGTAGTGAGTGGACATTCATTCAAGTGGAAGACATATCTCTGAGTTTTCTGTGTGGGCGCAAAGCGCCAGTGCAAGTTCATTGTTGACTCTGAATTCGAGAAAGCGTTTCACCATCAGTTCCTGCGTGTGTGCATGTTGCAAGCAAGATTGGAGTGCAGTCTGATTTGAAATGGCCCAAATAAAAAAAAAAAAAAAAAAAAAGGGACTGGAGGAGGGTGGCAAGGACAATGAATTGAATAAACTTCAAGAAAGAAAGCAACAGAGATTTAGGGGGCAAGATGGCAAGATGGTGTTTGACTAAGTCTCCAAGACCTGCTTCAGTGCGTGGACCATTTGTGACTCTCTGCAGAGGACACTGAAGGTATATTGCAAAGCAACAAAAAAGGTGTACATGAGGGCAGGTGAGTAAGGAGGAACATGTTGTGTCTAGCAACTTTTACCTTAACGACCTCAGGTTGCAGCCGAGGTGGAACATGGTTCTCCAAAGTGAGAATCACTGGATATGGAGATGCTTTGAATGCATTATCGCGAATGACCTCCAAGCAAGCGTCGAATGCGACTGCCTTTGTCCATGTGCTTAACACCCAAACAACAAGATATTCATTCAGCAATCCATCTATAATTCTTGTCCTTTTTATAGTGGCATGGTTATATAACACTGGAAAACATCCATCGGTCAATCCATAGGGACATTAATGCATTCATCGCATCTTGAAACGAGTTTCCAATCAGGCAGTGCCTCATTCACTCATTCATTCAATCATGCACCCAATCAAGGTTTTGAGGCATGTCCACAAGTACTGCAGGCATTTGATTGTGATTCAGTCTCATCTTGACGACTAATCAAGGCGAACAGGACTGCTAGTCGGGTGCCAACCCACCTAGCCATGACAGAATCTATAGAAGTGGTGAAGTATCCTGCCCCACGTGCCAACTCACCCAGCCATGACAGGATCCATGGAAATGTTTAAGCATCTTACCCAGAGCAATGTCGTAAACTCTTTGGAAAGATCATTTCCGGTGAAAAAAGACCACTTGTGTTTACAACTAAAGATTGCACAAGCAATGCCATGGCAACACAGGACAATGCCAGGGCTAGTTCAAAAGATGAATACCATACTCTCACAATGGATAGAGTGGGAAACAGAAAGATGGGAGGATAACGGCCCTCTCTATGACACACACATAAACAACAGCAAGAATGGACAGCACAAAGAAAGGGAGACAGTACACTGTAACCCCAACCCAAACCCTCATATCAAAGAGCCCATGAGCCCAAGTAGCTTCTCCACCTCTGGCCAGATCAATATATCTTGATGTCTGACACACCCTCTTTCTCTTGTCAACATTGCAAGAAGGTGGAAAAGGGAAGAAAATGGGGAAGGAGTGGGACACTCTTATCTCAACCAGTAACCTGCAATAAATCGCAGTTTCCCAGTGGGACTGTACACTAAGTGTTCGGCTTTGTAGTTTGTTGTCTTGTTTTGAGCCTTGCGGGACTTGATCCCGTGACCTGTAACCTGTGTGTTTTGTTTGTGAGTGTTGAGCCCTATGGGACTTGATCCCTCTGTTTGGTAGTCCTAGGCCATTCCGCCTTTTCCTTGTGCCTTGTCATAGGTCTAGGTCCCCTTTTCCCCTGTTTCCATCTAGATACAGATAAGTCTTGGCTTGTTGCCTTTGGAGTCCATCCTAGGTCTAGGCAGAGGGTAGAAGTAGCGGGCAGGAAATTTGGTTCGGGTCATTTCACGCTTTTGTTGGCTGGGGAAACTCTGCCCATCTGTTGCTGGAGCGCTGCTGCTGTATTTTGGGCAAGGTCATCTTCTTCCTCGAAGCCCAGCCATAGCTGGGGTTGGGAAATGAAGTTGAAGATCGCACTGCTGCTATTTTGCGGCTCCGCATGAGAGCTTCCACAGGACTGTGTTGTTGGGTTTGGGTGCTGCCATCTTCCACTTCGCAGCCATATCTGCTGTTCCTCCTCTCGAGGAACTTTGTCTTCTTCGAAGTGCTGGATCGGTTATCTCCTTCTTCATCCGGACTTCCAGCGCTGCACTTTCGTGTGGGTGCTGAGCTGGCGCTGTTATCATTAGGGTTGCTGGTTCAGATTTGCACGTTGTGACAGCTGTGGGGTTACTGCTGCTACGGCAGCCATAGCCAGGGGTATGAGGTGGCGAGGAGGAAGAAGAAGACTCCTGCATACTTCGTTGAACACTTGTTTCTGGTTGTTCGGGGTTGTTGTAAACACCGTTGTGATTCTTGGAACAAGTACTCTGGATTGATTGGAGGAGGACGAGGGATTGCAGTGTTGAAATTCGTTTTTCAATTCTCTGTGTATTTTGAGCTTCCACTGTGCATATCTTCTCTCCGATTTTGTGTGGATTTGCCTCCTTCAAGTCTACTCTGCAATTGCATGCGTGCATGGGAACATGTGAATTCGTTGTGGATTGAAGTTCAAGCGGGTACATAACAGTTGGTATCAGAGCTGCGACCGTGTGCAACCGGTGAGCAATTGAGTGGCAACCTCCTTTCTGAGTGGCGGTTGGAGTAGGGACTTGTTGTCCGCTTTCTTCAACGGATGTCATTGGTGAGAGGTGGTGGAAGGTAGTGTGCAAGGGGAGAATTAGCGCTATCAAAAAAAAAAAAAAAAGGATACGGAGTGGTGGAACGTTCACTGGACATTTCAGCTGGCGTAAGCAGAGTTGACCGCTGCGTCAGCCCTAAATGATCTGGTTGACCTGAGGGCCTTGCGACCCTCAAGTTACAGGCCTTGCCTGTTGACGGTTTGTTCGACCGTCTGGGCCGCTGCTGCGGTTACTTCACGAGTTACTTGATTGGAAGACTGGGAAACTTCGCTGCTGGTCTGACGTCAGCGTCAGCCTGGTTCTACGATATTTTGCTGCAGATTGGGGGTCAATGGTTGACCGGCCAGATATCTTCAATCAAGCCTTGCTCGAGTGAGTTCGTTCCGTGGATCTCCTGACCTGACGTCCGACCTTGTCAGATTCTGTCAGTTGTCAGTCCATGTGCAGCCTGGGTCAGATAGGGTGCCAGTCATCGTGTTCCTGTTTCTGACCTCTCTCTGAATCTGTTCTAATCCAATAAAATAAAATAAAATGGAATTCCATCTCAAACACCCTGATCTGATTTGATTGCCTACCTGGTTCTGCGTGCATCAACCGGAATTGGTGTCTGTTCTTTTCAGAATTGTCGGTCTGTCAGTCAGTCCTGTCAGTTGGCAATCATTGTTAGCAGTCAGGAAATCGTCAGTTAGTAAGGATGACTCCCTTTTATTACAAGAGGTCAGAGTGTCAGTGAAATTGCATATTCCACTTTGATTAGAACGGGAATTCTTTTGGCAGTCTGCACATGTGGTGATTGAAATCTGCTCCGGCCTTTTTTTATTTTTTATTTTTTTCTGATTGAATAAATCCAGTATCTCTCTCCCTTGCTGTGGAATGCTGACGGTTGTGGAAAGGCTATGTTGTGAGCGTGATCAGAAAAGAAAAGTTTCCGTTTCTGATTTGGTTGTGGGCTTGGTTAAAGTAATTCGTTGACGGTTTTGGCTGTGAAACGGTATTCACCAATTCGTGGTAGCTGAGGCAGATCCCAGGGCTTGATCCCTAGTTCCCCAACTTACCTGTGTATAATATCTACGTCAACTCGAAGAGTTGAACCTGCGACCTGTAGAACCGCCAGTGGTAGGTAGATTGTCGTAGGGCACAGGATAGACTGGAATCGAACTGTAGACCTGTAGGGTAGAAGTCTAGACAGTTCCGGAGTTGTAGCTGAAGACTGCCTGAAGAGTCAAGGTCGTAGCTGCTACTTACCTGAAAGGGCAAAGTCGTAGCTGCTCCAGTACCGAAAGGCCAACTTAGAGAGTTCTAGAAGTGGCCTTTCGGAGTCAGTCCCTGTTAGGTGCAGGCAAGTGGTCAAGTGGTGCAGGCAAGTGG